AGGAACCGCTTCGCTCTGTCTCCAGCACGCTTGGCTCCAGGGCTCTTGCTTCTACTGCGCCTTGTCGCTTGCCGCTGGGAGCTTCATCCACGGGGTGCAGTGCATCCCACCCCTGACACCAGTGTGACGGCACGTTGGGGGTTCCCCGTCTCCTGCACCCCGAAATGGCACAAACAGACTGTACCAGCCAGTGGAATTGAGGGTGGTTTATTGCTCCTCCAGCACAGCGCAGCACAGATGTAATCTGGTTACAGGAACTGGGCTAGGATGCCTCAGGCCCCCTTGAGATGGGGGAGACTGGGCCCCTAAAACTCCAGCTCCTCTCCCTAGGCTGTCTCATCCATCCTCACAGACAGCCACCAACCAACTAACCCACTTCCAGCCCTGCCCCCCAGCCACCTTCCTTTGTTCCTCTCCATGGGGGGTGTCTGGCCACTGGTTCAACCAGTTTGGCCTTACCTCTGCCTAGTGAGGTTTTCCCTGCTGGGTCTTGCTCCAGGCAGCAGGGGTCACCACAGCCCAGCAAGTACCCCCACTACGTCACAATGTTCCCTAGAACTATTGACCCATCTCTCTTCTCTGTGTCAGAGAAAAGCTTAGAAAGAGACTGATTCTGATGCACATCAGCAAGGTTCTCAAAACACAATTACCCTTCGTTCAGGTTGGTTACAGACCAGGATGATGTATTCAAGATCAAGTCACTAGTTCGCCTAACACAAGATACCAAAGATGCTTTCAGGAAATTTGGTGCCATTATGGTTGATCTGTTAGCTGTATGTGACAATGTCTGGCATGTGGGGCTGCCACAATGCAGACTGTTCCCTATAAGACATAGTGTGGTTCATCAGGGACATGATCATGCCCTTCAGTGCGAGATCGCGTCCAATCAGTGTGGACGCTATCTTTCGAAAGAGCACATTGCTATTTCATTGCGCTTTTTGAATCAAGCTTTTCCAGAAGAGATCTTTCAGAAAAGCTTATTCCAAAAGAAGCGTGCAGCGTGGATGTACCCTAAGATGGAGGCTAACACTTCCCTTTGAACAATCGTCTGGTCAATAAAGCTCTTAGGCTGCGTCCAGACTGGCATGATTTTCTGCAAATGTTTTTAACGGAAAAGTTTTTCCGTTAAAAGCATTTGCGGAAAAGAGCGTCTAGATTGGCACAGATGCTTTTGCGCAAAAGCACTTTTTGCGGAAAAGCATCTGTGCCAATCTAGACGCGGTTTTGCACAAGAAAGCCCTGATCGCCATTTTTGCCATCGAGGCTTTTTTGCGCAAAACAGTCCTCCCCTGTCTACAGTGGCCCTCTTGTGCAAATACATGTGGGCAAGAGGGCTTATCCCTGAGCAGGAGCATCATAGTATTTGCACAAGAACCCTGACAATCTTACATTAGATTGTCAGTGTTCTTGCGTAAATTCAAGCGGCCAGTGTAGACAGCTGGCAAGTTTCTCCGCAAAAGCAGGTGCTTTTGCGGAAAAACTTGCCACTCTAAATGCAGCCTTACAGTTTGCACTAAGGATCATCCACTCCCTTGAGAGTCATGCTCTACCATAGTCTAACATACGCGTCCCATCTAGACCATGTCCCTCACTACTTTGATCCAGAAGTTGCAGAAACCTCCTGGGCAACAAAGGCAAATGTTTTATGAACTATCCTGCAACAGGTATTTGCTCCAGCAGACCGTTCTGCTGTGTTTGAGGCAGAAGTTGGCAAGTTGTTGATTCAGAGCTGAATATAGCCACCTGTATTGTTCATGGTTGCTTTAGCCACATATTAATATCTAATTCATTTGTATTAGTTCATATAGCTCCCTCAAAACATTGACTCAATGTCATTGCCCTTAAAACTTCCTGGACAGCTGCAACAGATTGAAAACAATCTCCTGCATGCAAGGTTGATGATTCCAGTAAGTATAATTAAGCAGCACGGACTTCCTATAAAAGGCTTGGCCCACCTGCAGAAGAAATCCCCTGAACGTGCAGCTTCTGCTGACTTACCACAACTAACGTCACATCCTTTTGCAGTGGTCATTCATGTCCAGTGGTGCCAGCTCAGTGCCAGCCCTGGCACAGCAGCATGTCAGGGTGACAATTATGTTCTTATAGCGTGGCAGCAACTTTCAGACAGAGAGACAGACCTACAGATGAATTTCAAAATCTCTAATTTACACCCACCCTTTGGAACCTGGGATGTAGATCTGGAACTAAGGTCAACATCCTGCTGATCCAAATGATCAGAGTGGTTGCTATGGTGAAGAAATTTAACAAAGCCCAGCCCTCACACCATGACTGCAGGTCAGCAATGCAGACTATCAAATGTGTGGAAGAGTACACAGTTAGAAGACTGGAGGGTAGAGTGCAGTATCTTTCTGTCCTTGTGATACAGCAGATACCTGAACAGTCTAGATCAGTGGTTCCCAAACTTTTTGGCATCATGCCCCTTTTTTGATTTTTGAGAAACCCTCCCACCCCACCCCATCAGCCAAACTTGTTGAGCCAAAAAAAAAAAAAAAAAAAGGATCTGACCCGGCGGAAAAACAAAAATAGCAGCAAAACTTATGAGGAGAGGGGGTTGATGGGGAAGGTTGGGGGAGGAGAGGTGCAGGGCTGCCTGGCACCCCTCCCCCCCGGAATTTCTTCATGCCCCCCAGTTTGGGAACCCGTGGTCTAGATATTAGCTTGTGATGCACATCAGAGAAGAGACTGAAACAGCAAACTTGGCAACTAAAGTGAAAAGAGAGAGATTTTAATAATGCTTACTTTTAAAATTCATATGGAAATCAGATATCAATGTGATGTGAAGTATAAATGCCTAAACAGAACAGAGAGCTAGATTGTTTTAGTAGTATGTTATCCTGTATGCTGTCTATCCGTCTTAATGTAGATGAAGCCCAGCAAGCCGAAGCAAGTCAAGTACTGAACGCAATATTAGATATCAGAGAACAAGCACCAAGGCAACAACCTGCAAAAACTGCCAGTGTTGCACATGCTCTTGCAATGCTTCATTATTTGATCTTGGATTTACCAAAGGCAAGTTTGACCTAGTGAGGATTGTTTTTAGTTAAATCACTTTATTTTTGATTAATACAATAACGTTAAGTGCAGGAACCTTTGCTTCTGTGAATGCCTAATTCAAGGGAAACAATAGTCTACTGCTTTCTAGCAAATAGAGCCACATTCCACTGGTCAGTTTCAGCAGCGGCTGAATCAGGACACCTGGGGCAGAGCAGCTGGGGTGCTGCTGGGTTGCTCCAGTAGCACCGAGGAGCCGCGCTACTGGAGCAACCCAGCAGCACCCCAGCTGCTCTGCCCCAGGTGTCCTGATTCAGCCGCTGCTGAAACTGACCAGTGGAATGTGGCTCTATTTGCTAGAAAGCAGTAGACTATTGTTTCCCTTGAATTAGGCATTCACAGAAGCAAAGGTTCCTGCACTTAACGTTATTGTATTAATCAAAAATAAAGTGATTTAACTAAAAACAATCCTCACTAGGTCAAACTTGCCTTTGGTAAATCCAAGATCAAATAATGAAGCATTGCAAGAGCATGTGCAACACTGGCAGTTTTTGCAGGTTGTTGCCTTGGTGCTTGTTCTCTGATATCTAATATTGCGTTCAGTACTTGACTTGCTTCGGCTTGCTGGGCTTCATCTACATTAAGACGGATAGACAGCATACAGGATAACAATCCATAATAATAGAGAAATTATATTGTGTGCTGATGAAAAGCAGCTCTGCTCCATAGATGGTGATGGATATTTCCCAAGTTACCTTAGCAGAGAGTATGGCCCTATGGTGTTAGAAACATAAACCCTCCTGCATCATAGTATAAGCCAAGGATGGGGAATTTACAGCCCAACTGTGTGAGCCTTGAGCAAGCCATGGACTGCATCCGGCCTGTGGACTCTGCCTGGCAAAGGGGAGGAAGCGGCTCTGCTGTTCCCAAAGCTCTGTTCTTGCACTTCCTTGTAGGCTCCTTCCCCATCACTCCCACTAGCCAGGAATGGTGGCCAATGGGAGCGATGAGAGCAGTCCCTGCAAGCACACGGCCATGGAGAGCCACATGCACCTCATGGGAGCTGCACCGGGCAGGTGCCCCAATCTCCTGCACCCTCCCGCCCAGACACTTCCCCCCCACACACTCCCTCACCCTTCCAAACCCTGCACCTCTACCATTGCCTGTTCTTGCACCCCACTTCCCTCCCAGACCTTCCAACCCCAGACTGCTCCTGCACCCTAACTCCCAACCTGGACCTCCACCCCCAGCCCGCTCCTGTGCCCTCCCTCCTGTCCAGACACCACCACCTCCACCCAACCATCTCCTGCACAGTGAACACATTTTTGGCCCCACCCCAGAGCCTGGGGTGCCCCACAAAATGCATTACCCTTGGGGGTAAGCCCTGAGCCTTGGTGTCCCCCCCACCTCCCACCATGGGGCTGGAGCTCGAGGGGAGTGTAATGAGGTTCTCTTTTTTTCCCCCGTCTCATTTGGGGGCCAGGTCAATGAAGGGGTTTTTTTGTTTGCTTGTTTTGTGTGTGTTCCTCACTTGTGTATGGCCCCCAACTGATTTTTCTGTGGATCAGTGGTCCTCGACCCAAAGGAGGTTCCCCACCTCGGGCATACACCCTTCATTAACTGATGAGATCGCAAAGAAACTTCTATGGACACATTAGTCAATAGTTACCTACTAGGGGATTTCTTACCATTTTCTCTGACGCAACTTATACTGGCTGTTTTCTGAACAAGATCATGATTAGAAGAGCCAAGTATGGCAATTCCTATGATCCTGTCTGTATATTTTACTATCCTACTGGGTATGTAACTATTTCATGGCAATAATTTTTTTTAAATGTCGTTTCAGGCTCATGAATTTGTGGTGAAAGCTTTTCTGATAAGCCAACAATTGCCAGACCAAGAGGCATCAGAAGTTATTCATCATCTATTTAAATTGATTAAATCCAAATCTTTCTCCACAAAATAGGGTCCAGTTTCTTCACATCTTTATCTTTTCAACTAGATTGCATTATGAGCTTCATACTTTTTGCCTGCTATCATTTTCTAGAAACGTTCTTTGTATATTTGCTTGCTTTTATTAAAATTACACTTTATGCTAGTTTGTTGCTATATTGTACCCAATTTGATTTTACATGGATGGTGGTAAAATATAATAATGTTACAGGGTATGAAGCAGATGTGTACCCAGTATTATAAACAAGTAAATATGCTACCATTTCTCCATTCTGTCTTGAAAGCTTTCTGGTATATTTCAGTGGAGATTAATGTGTCCTTCAAATGTCTCAAACTATCATTTTCAAATGTGTTCAAGCCTATAGCTTTGAGGAGCTGTATGAAGGGCTTGTGTTCTGGACATAGGGGCTATGTCGATACTCACGGCTTCTTGCGCAAGTAATATGCAAATGAGGCTAAGTGTGGAATATCGCTGAGACTCATTTGCATACCTAATGAGCCACCATTTTTTTCAGAAGAGGCTCTTGCGCAAGAAGGAGCATCTACACTGCCCCTTCTTGGGCAAGAAAAACCCTCTTGCGCAATACCGTTCTTCCTGAAAAGTAATAGATGTAACTTGTGTTATGAGAACAAGTAAATAACTTTTCCTTATTTATTTTCTCAACACCAGTCATGATTTTATAGACCTCTATCATATCCCCCCTTGGTCTCCTCTTTTCTAAGCTGAAAAGTCCAAGTCTTTTTAATCGCTCTTCATATGGGACCCGTTCTCTAATCATTTTTGTTGCCCTTTTCTGATCCTTTTTCAATGCCAATATATCTTTTTTGAGATGAGGTGACCACATGTGTACACAGTACCCAAGATATGGCGTACCATAGTTTTATATAGACCAGGAATCTCGAGAAGTGTGCAGCTTACCAGGAGCTAGAACTCAGGATGTGACAGTCTTCCAAAACTGATCCAACCTTCTAAATAGTTTCTAAGCTGTTTTTTCTCCACCAATGGCTGCCCACCTCCTTCCCATACTGCGTTGCCTAGTGCAGTAGTCTGGGAGCTGACCTTGTCTGTGAAGACATAGGCAAAAAAAACCATTGAGTACTTCAGCTTTTCCCACATCCTCTCTCACTAGGTTACCTCCCTCATCCAGGAAGAGTCCCACACGCTCCCTGATCACCTTCTTATTGCTAACATGCCTGTAGAAACCTTTCTTGTTACCCTTCACATCCCTTGCTAGCTGCAATTCCAACTGCGCTTTTGCCTTCCTGACTACTCCCCTGCGTTCTCGAGGAATATAGTTATACTCCTCCCTAGTCATCTGACCAAGTTTCCACTTCTCCTGGAGGTTACATGCTGCGAGTTTTCTTCCTTGTTCTTTACTGCCCCCACTGGCTCTTCAGCCTACTATGCCTGCTGTATCAAATACTGCTTTCTATCGAAGAAGTCTTCATCTTCTCTGATGGAACATAGGGTTGATACTTGGGCCTCAAGTCTTCTAATTTTTTCTTCCAATATGGCAACCAGCTTGCACTTAGTGCAGATGAAATCTCTTCTATCTTCTGGGAGGAAGACAAACATTGCACATGCTGTGCAGGTCACAACAACTGACTTATCACTATCTATACCTGCCTTACTTCAGAGAAGTTCCTCAGAAGTTTTTATGGCCCCTTTGAAGGGCAGAAGAGAAACAAAATTCAAGAAAAAGACAAAACACTATGGGACTTCCCCCAGAGCGAACTCCTAGGCAAACTGCCCTGTTGGCTGCTGCCCTGTTCACTGCTCACTGTGTTCACGCTGGCTGCCTTTTTGTAAGGCTTCTGGCTAGGTCCGGCTCAAAGCCTTGCTTCTAATCCAGTCAGCCCTTGAAGGCTCACCTGGAACAAAGCACTCCAAAATCACACTTTTCAAACTGCCACCCTTTTCAAACCACCGAACACACAGTCAAACAAATGCTTGCAGGCACTTGGACACTGCCCCTCTCTGCCAGCATCGGCCCCCTCAATTCCCATTGGTCACAGCTCCCCCTTCCTGGCCAATGGGAGCTGCAAGGATGGTGCTTACAGGCAGGAGTGGTACACCAAGACATGTGCTTCCCCCTTGCTCCTCCCTGCACACTCACAGGTCCACAGGGCCATGTTGGCTGCTCCTGGGAACTGACCAGCAGTATGGGGCCAGGGCAAACAAGTAGCCTGCCTTAGCAGCAGCCCCACTCCACACGTGGGGCCGGCGCCAGCAGGTAGCCCCACTCCACACATGGGGATGGATCAAGAAAGGAGTCTGCCTTAGTGGCAGGGGCCCTCCCCCCTCAGAGATTGTGATCAATTGGGAGACTACCCAGGATGGACCAGTCGATTGTGATCAACTGGTTGGTGGCCACTGCCCTAGTTTAAAGTTCTTTAAATCTGTCGTGGCAGCCCTGTGTTCTCTGCTCTTCTCCCCACCAGCCCTCTATGACCACAGTGCTGCTTTGCTGCAGGATATCGGCAAGACAGATTTGAAACACATTAGATGTTTGTACAAATGAAACTAGCATCAGCATACGCTGGGAAGAAATACAAGGGCTTTCAGGCTTTGTATGATATAGCATTAAACTATTGCTGAAAACACACACACCCTACCCTGTGTAATAGATGCATTTAGGGGGGGTTCACATTTCTCTTAAATATCCAAGATATGCTACTGTGGACGGAGTGGGTGGAACATTGATTTGCCCCAGTGACAAACAAGAAGACAACAGCAGACTAATCAAACCGTTGTGCAGGAGGTGGGGTCAGCAGACCAGCTGAGCTACCCATTATTTCCAATTGGACAATTTCTATTACTAGAGAGCAGCTGTGAACACAAGGATTTGTATGATGTCCGAGTGCAGAATTTCAGCTGCCAGCAGGTGGCAGGAAGGTTCCACTCGGCATGGGACATTGCTTTGGACGAGATATTTGTTCCTCATTAGATTGTTTTTCTTAGCCATGAAGCTCTTCAAGGCAAGCGATTTGTTGATTAGATGGAACACTTGTTAATCTGACTTCTTGCTGAGAGGATCATGTTAAAATAGGGTTAGGAATCTCCTTAGCTAAAGTCCTTAATTAGAGCCTGTGCTGATTTCCGTTTTTGTGGGGCAAGGCGCAAACGGGCACAACAAGGCTTGAAAAATGGAGTTGACCAGGAGAGGAAGGAATCTTGCCTACGTGGAAACCAGCAACTTCTGCATAATATGAGCTCTGATTAAAAACAAGTTGAATGCCCCTGTAGTTGCAAAGGAAAACATCAACATGTGAATCGAATGTTTCCAGTTCCCCAGATTTGCCCAAGGCTGCAGACAGGTGCATCAGCAGCTGCTCAGGTCTATCTGCTGCTGCTCAGAGCTTTGCCAAACTCCAGCAAAATGAGAACTGACTGAACACTTGTCCGTTTCACTCCTGCTCTTCAGAACCCTGCAGACTGAAGAACTCAAAAATGGTAAAATCAGGAAGACACCCACATACAATTTTGGAAGCCAAACAGTGGCAGGGGGATTCAAGTACCAGATACCCACAACTCCATATGAAAGTGTTGCAACCTCCACCAGACATGGATGTAAATGAACCATCCCAGACATTGTACCTGTCTGATCATTTCTGTTTCCCCCTCAGCCACTGGCTACTGGGTAAGTCACTGTCTGTGATGCTCCTCAGGATAACCAGGGTTGTAGGACACTCCACCATTACCTGCCCTTAGCAGAAGGCAGTCTGGTCTGTGCCTGTTGGGATCAGATGCCTGAGACCACAGGGTACATCTAGACTACAGGCTTTTGTCGGCAGAAGTTTTGTTGACAGATACTGTCGACAAAGCTTCTGTCGACAAAGAGCGTCTAGACTACATCCAACTCTGTAGTGTAGACGCAAAAGACAGTGAAGATGCAATAATGCCTTCTGTCGACAAAAGGCGTTATTCCTTGTAGAATGAGGTTTACAGCCGTCGACAAAACGGCTGAGTTCTGTCGATGTTATGTTGACAGAACTCAGCGGCAGTGTAGAAGCAGGTATAGTTTTGTTGACAAAAGTCCATTTTTGTTGACAAAACCCTGTAGTCTAGACACACGCACAGTGTCTGCAGCAACAGCGCTGGCTTCCAGGCCTCACTGTCTGCACAGGTGGGCATCCACCTGTGATATACCAGGTTGTTCTGGGCACCGCTGAGAGGGTCAGTTCAGAGCGAATTGCTCAAAACCAGGGCTACTTGCAGCCCCAGACTGGGGTCCTCTCTAAGGCGCCAACCAGTCACACGGAGCACTTCAGCTGCCCCTCTGGCCAGCCAGAAGCCTCACAAGCAAAACCCCTTAGAAACCACAGTGTTCCCTGTGCCACAACCAGACCTACACCTTATACAGGCAAGAAGTTATAAACCCCAGCCTCACCAATTCTGAACAGGTTCTCCCTGCCCCAGAGGACTAGTCACGGTCCCGGGTCACTTTGGGAGGCAGTGCTCAGGTATTTATTGGCAACCTTGAGAGCCTGTGTCTATGCAGCATTGCTAATTAGCATAGCCATTCATTGAATAACCATTCCTCACAATAGGTGGTTGAGGCCTATTGTTGTCTCCCAGCCAGAGAACATTTAAATACAAGCACAGAGCCCACAGTCGTAAGGTCACATACAAAAGTCGTTCAAGGAACATGAGGAGCATGCATACAATCAGCATAGCATAAGCTTTCATTTGCCTCATGTGGCCCACTCTGTCCAGCATGTCAAGCAAATGCCCACTAGTGGGCGTGACATGGACCAGCTTGTTCACATTAAAATCCAGTAACATGATAGCACCTTGAGTCCTCAGAGCACTCCTGCCCCTTGTCCACCGAACACTCACAGAATTAAGGGGGAAGAACTCCCATCTTGTGAGACTGAACTCAGGGCCAGCGCCGTGGACTGAGCACTGAGACATATTTATAGTTATTAGGGGGCTGCACCCCTGTTCACTACGCTCGCCGACCCCTCTCTGTCCACCGCAGCCAGATCATGGGCTCCCCTCCTACCCATACTGCAGCAGGAGGGAGGCTGCCACCAGCCCTTCCTGTGGTCAGATGGGGGGCTGGACTGTGGGGCCTGCCTCAGGATCAGGACTGGGGACAGTACGCTATGGCCAGGTGGGGCCTGGACCCCGACTGGGGCCTTGTTTGCCAGGCTTTCATTTAAATAAAGTAAAATATTAATAAAAAAGGTTTCTACATTGTCTTTATTGAATGGCAGGGTTGAGGAATAGGGTTGCCAGGTGTCCGGTTTTGAACCAGACGGTCCAGTATTCAAGCTTTCTTTTTGGGAAACAAATTGAGAAAAAATAAATATCCGGTATTTTCTAAATAAGAGGTAATGTAGACTGTAATGTTATGTCAAGTGTGTCCAGTATTTTTGTTGAAACCATCTGGCAACCCTATTGGGGAACCATTTTTGGGTTGGGGGCCACTGACCCA